CAGGTATACCGGTGCTGTAGATATCTGGTCAGTCGGATGTATTTTTGCAGAATTACTTGCCAGGCGGATACTGTTCCAAGCACAGGGCCCGATTGATCAGGTACTGTAGCTTGTTTGAGCTTATTTTTCGTTCTAATCAATAATTGATTGATCGTTCTTATTCAGTTGGACCTCATTATCGATCTTCTTGGTACACCAACACCTGAAGAGATGAAATACGCATGTGAAGGAGCTAGGAATCATGTGCTAAGGGCACCATTCCGCGTGAATACATTCCATCGTATGCGACAACTTAGCCAGCACACCACCGACGATGCCGTCCAATTGCTTGCCATGATGCTCCAATTTGATCCGGTAGGTCTTGAACTTCTCCCATACCGGAATTCTGGCACCGGACTTTTTCGACCTGCTGGTTGTGGAGGAAATGGTCGAGAAACAGTTCCTTTTCTTCCAGTCGTAAAAGGACATGCCACCGTACTACCTGGGTTACCGTAATCCTTTCAATTTCAGGATAAGCGTGCTACCGTAGAACAATCATTGAAGCACAGTTATTTGGATGAAGGACGTATGCGTTTCCATTCATGTATGTGCTCATGTTGTTACACAAACAATCCCGGTAACACCCGCATATTCAGTACGGATCCTGACCCGATGGTGAGTTTGGGACCTGTTTGGGAGCTCTGATTAGGTTTCTCGGGAGCACTTTAGCCCTTTTTTCCTGGATTTTGTTATTGAAAATGAGTTATTTAGCATGAAATGCCTTTCGATCCCAAATGGGAAAAGGAATTATCCCGGTTATCAATGTTCGATTTACGGGATCGTATGTATAAGTTCGTCACGGAGCGTACACCACTTTTTGGTACACCATTGTGTATTAATCCAAGTTCAGCAGCCTACAAGAACTTTGCAAGGTGGGCCATCGCTTTATTTCTTTTTTTAAAAAAAAGATTTCAACAAAAATTTCAAAAATCTAAATTATCGAGAAGAAAAAGAAAAACCAAAGGATCGGTGTTTGATGGGTTGTGATCAGAAAGATCTTATGTTTTGTTGGACAAACCTTCCCTCACCCGCATGATTTATTAAAGCCCGCGCAAAACTAAAGTTGGAGTAAAGTGGGCGGGGCATCCTGGTTTTGGCAGAACCCCTTGGGCGCTGCCATGGGTCAGGATTTCCGCATACGATTAGGCGATTTCTTATCTATATAGTATGGTGTTCCGGTGTCAGTCAGCGTATCCTCATGATGTAATATATAAATCTTCCCGTCCAGAGATTGAACAGCTGCTTGGCGAGATCATTTGTTCGAGTGGGAACGGAGAAAAGGAAAAGAAAAGTGCCGTAGAACTTATAAACGAGCATTATTGTTCACCTTTATGGTGGCTCAGTAGCTTTCACTCACCCGTATGGGCGATTTTTGTTGTCCTCGGTGGTGCTCACTCATACGGATGGAACTCTTACTAATTACTTCCTAGTACTACTAGAGCGTATAGTCAAGGGTATACTGTAGGAGATTAAACAATAAGTTGGAACGGTAGGGTTACCCTCACGTCTCAGGGGGGTCGTAGTTCAAGATCGGCATGGAATCCTCTTTTATTCGATCAATATCCATCTTCTGCATGTATGCATCGGTAGGGTAATTGGAATGGGGGAGAGGGGAGGGAAGGAAAGGGGAGAGCAGTGAGAAGCCGTTCGGTTTAGTCCCTGTTGCCTTCCGCTTGAGGGCAAGTCTGACCGATTTACTTGTTTATTCATTTGTTTATGCTTTCTGATGGTACCCCTACTTGGACCACTGGACCACCAAGTGGTAAAGAGCGATAATTACTTTGTGTGGAAGAGAGCGTGGAAGGAAGGCAATGAATTGCAAAAAGTTTAATTAATCGTTTAGAGTTTTTTTGTTTTTCGAAATATTTTTATGTAATTTTTACGAATTTTTATCATTTTTTTCTGCTTTTTTTTATTGTAATTGAGTATTTTTACAATTTTTTTTGTACTAAGGATGATCTGTTTCAGTTCATCCGTGGCTCAAGCGTCCGAACTACCGCCATCGCCTAACGCCTGGGACTGATCGTCGTCGCCACCGTCATGGCTGCCCGTCCATAGCCTTCCCATACTCCCCTACTCCTGCAGACTGCTCAGAAGCACATCACTGTCGTTGAGCGCCGTCGGTGGTCATCATGGCCTTGATGGCCGCCGGCCTCGGCCCCCAATTCTCCTCATATCTGACTTCCTCATTTTTCTCTTGTCGCGTCGTCCTGCCTGCCCATCCGTCCGTCCGCCTGCACCCCTCCCGGAAATGATTGGTCCGCGATTCGGTTCTAGGCATCTGTGCTGCTCCATTATTGGTCTTCTTACTACCCCGTATTCTTTCAACATGATGATTGTAATTTGTATTTTTTTGTAAATTTTTTTACTTATTTACCCATTTAAACACTTTCTACTAATGTCTTTTACGTCACAGACTTTCATTGTCATTTATCATTTATTATCATTACATCATCATATGATTATTATTAATATTGTTTTGTTATTATAGGAAACATGTGTATAGTCATTCAATTGTGATCATTGCCGTATTTCATGTGAGTTGATGTGTGTTGTATGTGTTGTCTAATAAGCCCATAGCCCTCCCTACAGTACTCAAACAATCGTGTTAGGACCCCCTGCCCTCCAAAAATTAGCAGCAACGTCACAGTGCTTTCCAACCTATCGCCGCATCCTTACACAGCAGTACCCTGATTTTTTTTCTTCT